CCCAGACTGCACTTTCTTTGTGATCCTAAACTTCGTATGATTATGTTTTGGTCATCTGATATGGAATTGACCTATTTTTTTGGCGGATATCTAAACCGTTGGATGACCATTAGTGCTAGGTTTGTCCGTAGTATGTTCTAGATCACCTGTTCATCACTTTGACCATGTAACTACCTCATAATTCTCTCCTTTGTGCCTGGGAGTTTTGTTTCTTTGTCTTATGGGATCTATAAATTTCAAGCTCAATCTGATGATACGACCATTGACTATATCTAGTTCGAGTGATTCCGGTAATATTCTGATCGACTATATCCAGTTCCAGTGATTCCTGCAATATTCTGATAGCCATTGTGCTAGGAGCTTATTTAGCTGGTCGATCATGTGCATTGCATTCGATGGACCACCGTTTTGATTTATTACCATGTTTCCTTCATTTAGGAAGCAATATGGATACTTCAAAAGTCCAAAATTCATGGCCGTAGTCCGGTTCTGTGCTCCACAGCCACAATAACTGCTCCTTGGTGATTTTATTTGCATCAAAACACAACATACATTGAGATTCTGATATCCTACAATTACACCGAGTATAAAAAGCGTATCTAAATATTTTAATGGAAATTTTGGATTAAGGGATTGGAATCAGCGAGTGAAACCTTATTGGCTGCACTCTACTGCGCGAGCTACCCGAAAATCTTACATTGGATGCAAAGTTATGGCCTTCCTAAGGTTGCGCCTCATTTTGCTTGTATGAGGCCACAAGATGTCTCCGTAAGGCCATGTTTGGACACACAAGTGTGACGGGTGCAATCTAAGCCATACAAGTATGACAGATCAAGGATGCCACCTAGGCCATACAAGTATGACAGATCAAGGATGCCACCTAGGCCATCCAAGTGTGACTTATAACAATATAGTGCAACCTCATCCATGTGGCTTAGCGGCCACACACATAAATCGTGTGGCTACAACCGCACAAACAAACAACACAGCTTCAAATTGGTGACCCACAGGGGCGGACTGACGTGTGTAATGTCACACAAGTCGTAGACTTGTATGGGTCCCATTTTCATCTTCTTCTTTTTTTTATGTTTTTGTTAACCGTCCACATGGATCATTACATGTGGAAGGTAAATTTCAATCTAAGTGGTTTTGACACCAGCATTGGATTGATCTAGAGAATCCTAACACAGTGCAGACAAAAAAGAAAAAGTAATGATTGGATGGATGTTACGTATCTTTTTCGAATCCGACTACTGCATGTGGTTGGTGTCAATCTCTCTTTAAACCTTTGATGAACAATTCTAGAGTTCTTGACACGCGTGTGGGTGTTTCTCTTTCTTTTTGACTATCGTGAGATCACAATGATGGGAGAGAGAATGTGGGTTCTATTGGAGAATGATTTCATGCAACAGATGTATAATAGTATAATGCAACCTTCTTTAAAAACCATGTCAGAGATATTTGTTTGACACAAATTTTTAATGTACACTCTTTTTATTCTAAAGAACAATTACAAGAAAGAAAATTTTGAAAACATGCTCTAGAAAGTGTTTTTCAGCCCAATTAATATATGCCGTCCATTTTAGTGATATGGTTAGATGTAGGCCTCAGAAGGATTTTTTAATTCCCAAAATTTTTATATAGCGTTATAATCATTAGATTAATAACAATAAAAAAGAAAAAATAATTTTGAGTTTTTTAAGGCCTAGATCTTAAAATTCACCAAATGGACGATCAAGATTCATTATTGGAGGGTACTAATTTTGAACATATCTAAGCTACAAATTGAAATTTTTTTCTCGTAGGATTGATTATGAAGAAAATGTGTGTAAAAATTTGGGGTCATACAAATGCCAAAACACATAGTTTTCTTGGCGTGTGGTTGCCTTATACTACTATACAGCTGTTGCATGAAATCATTCTCCCTATTTAGAATGGAAAAGTGTATTGTGTATGGGGAGATTATTCTTCAATTTTTTAAAATTATATATATATATATATCCTCGTGTTGGAGATTATATATGCCAAAAATATTAGATTCAAAATCCATATAAAAAATAGAGGAGAGGATACATATCTACATATGAGTCAGCGGACTCATATAAACCATATCCATTTAAAAATCCTTATGACGTAGTATTCCAACTTTCTCGCTAGAGCACAAGAAAGGGCAATCAGGTCCCCACCCACTAGGGCGTACCCAAAGAATCCACTAGTGATCTTATGGTATTTTTCACGAGACAAATACTTTTTTGGTATTTTTATGCATGATATACGGTTTTCTAGAGTGTTCTAATCCTTTACAAAATTTTCTTCCATGAGTTTTTTCTTCTTTATTTTTCATGTGCCTTTTATTTTTTTTGAATTTGCCTTTAAGAACTTCAAGATTTCGCAGGGGTTCTTCTAAATTTATTCAATATCGGTACTCAACAACCACATATTGAAAAGCTCCACGTTACCTCCCCTCCTCTCAAACTATCATGCTGTTGTTACACCCACCTACGTTCTCACATGTTTTCTTAATCCAATACAAATGGAGTCCCATCTTATTCTCAATTCGACTACCCCTACCATAAAATTATGCAAATAATAACGATAACTATGAAATTTAGGAAGGGGGCTAGATCGTAGTGGTAGCACTCCCATATCTAATTATCATGTTGTGGTTTTTAATCTTGCTGACATCACCTACTGACACTTTTAAAAAAGCTAACTCTCTAATCTATCTGAAAAATTCATCACAAAATTACCCAAAATGAAAAAGAAAATGAAATTTAAACACATGCAAACATCAATATTAGAAGTTCTTCGCAAATCACAACTATATACTAGAGCTTTTGCTGACTTCTTGCCAATCATTAGCAATATTTCTAGTATTTTTTGGTTTTCATTTAGGAATTAATTCATTTATTTCGTGTTCGTGTGAAGAATTAATCCATTTATTTCATGTTCCTCTGAACAAACAACTAAGAGTTCCATAGAAATAGAAGCCTTTAGAACGAGTCCAAAAGACACCGAGTGCGTACCGGTGATGCTGATATGCGTATATGCCGCCATGTCCCGGTGGACCCTACGGACAATGATAAAGCAGTGGGTCCTTCTCCTTCCCACTCTCTCTCTATATGGCAAATCGCGAATATGGTACGTGGGCCAGTGGGGGACCAGCCAGGTTGAGCGGGCCACAGTGGACTGCCGTAGCATGTTCTCATGGGATCATATTGTATACTTGGCAGAAGAGATATTTTTAAAGAAAATTATTGAAATATTTTGGATCTATTTGAGAGTGATTAAATCATTATTTTAAATTTGTAATATTTAAACACTTAGTTTTAACCATCCAAAAAGTAGGCATCCATCTTATTTGTTTATTTATTTATTTTGGGAGATTGGTTATGGTTTGAAGAAGTTACATTTTTGAATCTTTAATCCTAAAAGCACTCTTTAGGATGGGTTTCACGATTTATTTTCTCTTTGGTTGGGGTCCAGGTAACATCCCTCAATTTTTAGGGTCCAAAAAATACTCCTAAGCTAGGTATTGAGAAGGAATGGATGGAATAATTGCTCCCTCGGGAGCATAGAATCTTTCGATCATTTCCTTTGTCACTTGTTCATGGTGCTCCTGCTTTATCATGCCACGATTGAAGTATGACAGTCATGGCCTACAGCCTTACTTCTGTCCAAACGTCTGATAACCCTCATTTTCTCTTGAATGCCCACAGTACTCACTCATTCTCTCTCTCTTAAAGTTATTCGCACCTAGGACGGGTGGATGCAACACAGACCACCCTTTTTTTTAACGGCACGACTTCGATATAACCAGATTATTTACATTTTTTTATACGAGGACATAGCTATTAATTACTGCCGGATGTAAAATTTGGTGGTTGAAGATGTATAATTAAGGTGCATTTCTTAAATCCTTCGAAAAAAGTTGTTGGCATTGGAAAAAATTTAAGTGCTCATCTCGATATCGAGATGTATAGATATGGAAGAAAAAAGAGATTTCAAGTCTTAAAAATAATAAATCTTGTAATACTTTATTTGGATTATCTATTTTCATACATTTATGATCTACTTGATTTAAACCAGTTTTGTAGTTTAGAATTTTATAATGAGGGATAAAAATAGATTCTTGTACCAACTTAAGAATTTTCGATACCAAAATTACATCCTATGATAAAGTCTTGACGTGCACCTTGTGCAACTACATCCTTGGCAAAAATGAAGAAGAACAAAGTGAGGTGTCCATGAAAAGTTGAAAAAGGGTTGCGGTGGTAGCAACTCTGTATTTTAATTACACGTTGTGTCTTTTATTCCCACATACGCCTTGAAAACCCTAGAACCATTTCAAAAATAGTAGGGACAATGATCTTGGCTTCGTTTTAGAGTCTTTTTCGTTTTGGTGAGAAAAATGAAGCAATTCGATATTTCGGCTGATTCGAGGAAAATCTTTGTATTTTGTTTTTTTTGAATTTATAAAAATAAATTTAAATATTTATAGATAAAAATAATAAAAAATTTAAATAAAAAGTAATTTTTTTTAAAATTAAATAAATATTTTTACATAGAGCTTTCTTTGCTTAGATCGAAAAAAGCAAAGCTTTGACTAAATTGATCCAAAAAAGACCAGAATTTGACTACAACGACTCGAATCATACCGAAGTAGCGGCCCCATGCTTCGCTTCGATGTGGTTTAAACCTAAAAAGACAATGGTAGGACCTTTATTCCGATTACAAAAAAAAAAAAAAAAAAATTCATGAAAAGTTAATTGTGATGGGTAGCAACTACCGGTAATTTTGAAAGATTTGGGTATTTTGGGTCATTTGGCTTTGTTGAGGAGAGAAGGTAAGGTCCTGCAAAAAATCGAAGTTGGATCCTGACCGGCAAACCGGACGTACGGATCGTTGCAGACGAAAGGCACCGGATTAGAAACGTACACGTGTCAGTTATCGGAAGCTCGTATGTTTGCCTCAAAGCAGGTCGGGGTTGGTATGGCTATGGTTTCCTGGCGTCACACTCTCACTAAAAAAACCTACTCTCCCTTTCTCTCGAACTTAAACACACTTTCTCTCTCTCTCCCTCTACCCTAAAATCTTCTCTCTCAACGGTTTCTTTTCTTCTCCTGGTTGTTGTTGCTTACCATGAAGGCCTGAAAAAATGGTTCACTTTTTGCGGAGTTTGAAAAGGGAAAAATAGAGGAAGCAAATCTGATGGTTGTATTTGTAATAATTTTGATGATTTATCGTCCTTGAACCTTTTTTTTCTCTCAAACTCCAGAGACGCAGGTATTTATCTCTATCCTATTTATTTATTTATGCATTTGAAGATGCTGTGAGGGTTTTGCAGTCATAGAACTTGCTTGACGTCATTGATCCATCCATATTATGTAAATTTATTGGTTATAAATTTATTGATTAATCTGTTCTCGTGTATGCTACTTTCTCTTATTTTCTCTATTTTTAGTTTCTCATCTTTTGGATTTTTTTTTATTATGATCTGTGACAATGAGATGCTGTTATAAAAATTGATAAGCTCTGCATTGTTCGCTTTGTGCTTCTTGGCTGGATTCATTGTGATTGGATGCAATGTTTGTTACAGTAGCTGCTTTTTTTTTTTGTTATAAAAAAATATAGCATTTTTTCATCAAAATAGGGGCTTCAATCTTCCCCTCCGGAAAAGGGGAAAAGAAGAATGTGAGGATTCTTCTCAAGAAAGGAAAAGTAGAGAATGAGAATTAGAGTCTTTATCTATTTTCCGTTCTCTAAATGTTGAAATTTTTTCCTACTTCTGGAGATAGCAACTGTTTTGACATATGCCCAAGCCTTCTGTTTTCTCCTGAAACTTGGGGTTTTACAGTTCATATTTGATAGGAACAAATCGTTTAGCTGGTAGAACTTAGCAGCAATCAGATAGGGGGAATATGATGTGAGTTACGCTTTTGGGAAATTTGTAGCACACTTCAGTTAATGTCTGACTGTCATCTATCTTGTAGAAGATGATTGTTCTCAAATATACAGTTCATTGGTCGCTCTTTTCGCAATATAGGAAATAGCCAATCAAAGAAAGAAAAATGGTACAACACTAAAAGATTTGGACACAAGCGCTGTAAGTTTGGGCATGGTTTGTGAGTTTTCTTAATACGCCTTTTCTTTCGTTGGGAAAAGCACACATATATCTATTGTTTTAAGCGTTATTACAATTTCACTTAAAACTTTTCTGTTATTACTATTGTACCCATTTTATATCCGTTATTACAACATTTGCCAACAATTTTTTTAAAATGACCACATTTCCCTTTTCAGATTTTCAAGATATGAAATTTATTTTTGCATGAAAGTATGATTGAATTTTTTGGATTTTCAAAACCCGAAACATTATTTAGTTTTTGGATTTTTTCCTAAATAAAAAATCGACAAATGAAACTCAACCAATAAGATGTGTAAAATCACTCAACAAATATTTTATAACCTCAGCCAATAATAATAAAAAAAAAAAGTTAGCACAAACCTTTCAAATGTTATCTCAAATCCACAATTTTCTCTCGTCAAAAAATTGAGAATTCAATGTTTGCTCTTTTCAAAATTGCTAAGGTGCAAAATAGTTTATGGACATTGAAGGTCTGAAATGTTTTTTATTTTGGATCCTAAAGATCCGAAAATAGGGAAATTTTGGACTTTGAAGGTCCGAATTTATTTATTTATTTATGTTTACGAATCCTAAAGCTTAAAAAATAGAGCAATTTCAAACCTTGAAATTTTGAATTGTTTTTCTTATTTCAGATCTTGAAGATCCAAAAATAGGGCAATTTTGGAAAAAAATTGTAGGCCTCCTAAGAATGGGTATACATGTAATATCCAAAATTTTGAATGCAATAAGTGAAAATTTTAGGTAAAATTGTAAATAATGCTTAAAATAATAGAAATATGTGTAATTTTCCCTTTTTTTTAAACTGACTTTGTTAAATAAAAAAGAAAGATTACAAACCCATAAGGTGTGGTAAAAATGGCCACCCACAAAATAGGTCCTCAGAATACATGGGGGAGAAGAAGTATGTAAAAAGGAAAATAACATAAAGATAAAAAGGCTGTAGCTGAGGAAAGTAGCAATAAAGGGGAGTGAAAAAACAAAAGGAAAGTGATAGAGGAGAAGGGCAATAGAAAAGAGAAGTGGAGAGAGTCCAGAGAAGAGAAAATAAGCCCAAAAAAGACAAATGTAGATAGTAGAGTCTGTCGCTAAACTCCGAGAGGTCGGAGATGCTTAGTAGTGAGATCTGTCTCATTGAACTTCGAGTGGTCGAAGATACCCAGTTGCGAGATCTAAGGAAAAGCGAGCTTTCGTGGTCGTAATGGATGAGAATATAGGCTGAGACCCTCTTATAGCCTTCCTTTTCAAGAAGGCATCCGTTGGAGACAATTTGCAGGAAAAGGAATGGAGAGGGGAAGAGTGAGAGGGGTAGGCCGGTGAGCAAGCAGAAATGGAGAAAAATCAAGCGTGAAGGAAGGGCTCTAACTAAAAAAGAGAGAAACAACAAGTAAAGATAGAGCTTAGAGAGCATAAGTGGGGAGGAGTGGTAGCGCAGAGGGACCAGAGAGAAAGAAGAAGATAAGATGGGGTAGCCTACACAGAAGTCAGGCCTAGGGACAAGATATCAGAGGCCTTCATGATATGCACCGCCCAAGGTGACTCACTAGAGCATAGGTTCTATATCCCTAATTTCAGGTTCCACGGGGGCCTATCTGATAAGTGTAGGAAACTCATGGGGTAACTTAACAAGATATAAGGATCGAGCAAAGAGAGATGACAAATAATGGAAGGGGGAGAAGGGGTAGAGTAGAGACCAGAGAGAAAGAAAGAGAGGAGGGATGGAGCCAAGAGACTTGGGATAGAATAGGGGGGGAGGGGGGGGGTGAGAGAGAGAGAATGTCCATTCCAACATATTCATATTCGACTTTTCTACTCTCTCTTTTCTTTTTTTCCTTTTTGTTCTTTTTTTCTTCTTCTTCTTCTTCTTTTTTTTGTTCTTTTCTTGTTCTGTCTTTTTTTTGGACTACCTAAGACAGGGGAGCGAGAAGAGAGATATACGAAGCATAGAGAAAAGGAGAGAGGAGAGGAAGAGGGTTTGCTAAGAGAGGGGCTAGGGGTATGTAACGTACTTGTTGTGAGAACAAGAGACTAGGGATGATGTTGCGAGCTCTTTCGTTAGCAAGGCCATGAGCTTCTAATTTGACCCCCCTAATGAAGGATGTGAAGCTCACATGCAACAGGTTTCTGTGGCAAGAACTCCAGTGAGGATAATGTGCTTCGGGCTCCTCCCTTAGCAAGGCCATCCGCCAGAGTTGGCACTTATAAGGATGAGTGAAAGTCACTAGCAGTAGATCTTTGCAAATGAGGGTGATGAGTTCAAATATAGACACACCAATCGCCAAGGACGTTGTACTAGATTCGCAGCCTATGATATGTCATTTCTTGAGTCACACTCCACTTAAAATGCCGAAAAATGGCAATGACTATAACAAATCTTCTTAAGACCTTCTAATAAAGTGAGAGCCTGTGCCATGTTTGAGTTTGATATTCCAAGTGGCCTCAAGAACAGGAGGAAAATACCATTGGAGTCTGCAAGGGAATCCCCATAACCTGATGGACCTGGGTTACGAAAAGAGACTCCATTTGTGTTGAGTTTAATAACTCCCGGAGGTGGGGGATGCCTCGAACTCCTAATCGAGGTGGACATAGAGGTTAGGGAGTAGGGGGTGACAATGGGCAGGTCTTGCTGAACCCGGACCTGGACCCAGACCTGAATAGTATTCGGGTCTGGGTTTTGGACCTGGACCCAACATAGTGTTTCAAAAAGCGCTAGGTGGGTCCTAGGCATCCTGGGGGTTCTAGGCCGCCCAGAGCCTAGGCGGGCGCCCACAACCTATGCGACCCAGTAAAAAGAAAACTTGCATCTTATGCCCCTTTTTGTATTCTTTTCACAACACTTGCATCTTATGCAATTTTTATTCGAAGGATTCGAGTTGTAGCCATATTTCCAACCCGGATCACCACTTCGATTAGATCCCGAAGGTGAGATCTCAAAATAATACAACTTATACAAGCAATAAAAAAAATTCACTAACTTTGATTGCTCGATCTCTAAATTTCCACTTCTAAGATGTTTTTAAGGACTCAAAGTCTTTTAAAAAACCCTCTAATAGATTTATAAAACATCCAAAATTAAATCTAATATCAATGGGTGATACTTAAATCAGTTTCTCATAACTTTGAGAAACCATTCAATCCTATGGAAATCACCAAAAACTAGTTTTTGGGGTTTTTCTTTCTCTAAAATAGGCTCTAATGGGTTTTAGGTTTCAAATGAACCTAAAACGTACAATTTTACCCTTTTAGTATTAAAAAAAAAGGACAAACAATGCCCTCAACGAGTGGCTTTTCCATTTCTTGGTGAGGCGCAGGCCCTGGGTGGCCGCCCAGAGCTAGGCACTGGGCGCCCAGGGATTTTCGCCTAGGCCTGGGCAATGCGCATAGGCCTTCTAGATGGCCTCGGCGGCCGCCTAGCTGAGCGGTCTGCTTTTTCAATCATTGACCCGACCCATTGGGTCTCTGGTTTACTTGTCGGGTACCAGGTCTAGTCAGGTCCATTGCCACCGTATGACTATGAGCTTTCTTTTTTTTTTTCATCATGTACTCATATTATTGGCAACAAGGTCACAATTACCCGCCATTAGATTTCAAGTTGTTTGATTTGTCATTTGATAGCTAAAGATGAATCAATACGATCCTAAATACACCTAAAGGAACAGGACTTAAAATAAAGTAGTTTATCTCCAATGGTTTACAGGTACGGTTCGGGTACGATTGGGTTTTGTTGGACCCGGACTTGGACCCAAATAGTGTTTGGGTCCAGGTTTAGGACCCAGACCCGATGAGATTGAGACCCATACCCAAACTTGAGGTCGGGTCTACACGTCGGGTCTTGGGTTTGGTCGGGTCCATTGCTACCCCTAATAGGGAGAGAAGGCTATGTCAGCTAACACGGTGTTGAGAAATGGGAATATGGGCAAAGGCAAGGAGGCTGCTAGCCCAAAAGGAAACAAGAGAGATAACAGAGTCCAAGAACGAGGATGAAGGTCTAGCAATACCTCCGAAAGTTCGAGCCATTTCTTTCTAACCAAACCAACGATAAAAGGGCTGTGATAGCAATGTGCCACAGTTTTCTTCCATTCTTTGGGAAGGGAGGGGACAAGAAGACTAAGAAGAAGTTCGTTACAGATTTAGGGGTTAC